CAAGAAGGCACTGTGCTCGATCTCGCCCCCAACCGGGCCCCCCATCTGCCTCCGCGAGGCGTGCTGCTGCGGCCGCCTCGCATGCCGCGACGTCCGCCATGGCGCTCCCTTATCACGAGCCAGCTCGGACCTTGCACCGCCGCCGCCGCCGCCGCCGTCAAGTGGGAGATGGCACGTGACTGCACGACGTTCTCATCGGTTCGATGGCGCAACTCTTCACCGATTCGAGTCGACAGCTCGGCCGACTCACCTCGTGGTGTAAGGTCGTACTCATCGTACCATCCATCGTAGGCTGACTGATTGTCTGTGATGCCTACAGGGTGGTCTACCGTCAATCGAAGGGCCACCCACCACATACACAACTCACCTCTGGGAACCGTCTGGATGCCAGGCAGCGGGCCCATCGCCATTCCTTGAATGGTCAGATCCCGCTCGCTACACACAGCAACACGACCGCATCCAATACGTCGAAACCTGGGATCCTTGGAATCTGAGCCGCCCGACGCGTCCCCGAACAAAACCACTGGTTGTGAGATCGGTCCTGGTCCGAGGATGTCGTCAGCAATCTCAGTCAGGAACACTCCGCTGCCACACCATGCCTCCTGCGCACAGGGGGGCGTCACCTCGGTCCAGGCACGAGAAGTGAGCCCCCTCGTCCAGAAAGCGTGATCGCCTTCATGCTGGGACATTGCCGACGGGAGCAGCTCATCGGACCGACGATGCGCTTCAGCATCCACATTCATTCCACAACTCCAGCTGCGATGAAAGGGTGTCTCAACCTATTTCCTACATCTAGGGCACGGTTGGCATATCTTGAGCGTGGTGGTGATTGTCGTACGCCGCTCGCTTGGCCACGATCCACCTGCTGCGATGGAGATCATGACCTCCGCCAGCCGTCGCCCACGAGGAAGAGCTCCAAGGTATATGATCGACCGCTTCAGTAAGAAGTGGTCTATTCCATCCTGCAGCCCGCTGCCCCAGAAATGTGCTGACGCTCTCTGCCAAACATATGTTGCTGCGGACTTGTCGACGTCCACAAAAGTGGTTGACATGTTTTTCAACGCTTGCTGCTCATGATACATTCCCCCCGGAAATTGCCACGACATCTCATCTGACAAGTGCCACTTGCTGGGGGTCTCTGGATACCAACCCCGCTCCAGCAACGTGAGGATGGTAGCTGACATGGGCCATCGAGCCCACCTGGACCGCCTCGAAGGTGACATGGTCTTCATCCTCTTGAGCACCTTGGGCCACGCACGATACACTGACGGCCGAAGATGAGGATGAGCAAACCACGGCTGGAGCCAGATCGCCACCACGTCATGCGGCATCTTGACTCCTGGGTCCTGGCCTGGCGCCGTCAACGACAGCAGCGGCGTGATGCACACTCCCTTACTCCCAGCACTGCATGCCGTGGCAAGGCCCCGCCGACATTGCTGCAGCATCCGCCCACACGTACCGTGAACTGCCTGCCCGTACGTCCCCGCCGCCTGAGCGCCGAGACGCTCAAGCTTGGAAGTCACTCGGTAGCGTTTGGACGCCCTGGCGAAGCGAATGACTTTCTCATGGAGCTTGTTCTGCTTGAGCCCCCGCTTGGTCCTCGCCTCCCTCGCCGTTCGCCTCCCGCCTCCCAGGTCGACGCCCAGGCAGCCCGCCTGCAGCCGCGCCTTCACCGTGTAGCCACGCCTCTTCGTGCGACGAACGATCTCCTTCGCATCGCCATGATGAGAACACACGACACACGATTCGGAGCAATCTGAAGCTTTCACTTTCTTCTGCTCATCTGCGGTATCGGCTAAACAATCGGCTAAAGTCTCAACAACTCATTGCCTGGAGCCAGCTAATCTTTGCGATACATCGTCAATCCACAACCGATGGAAAACTCGCTGATGAGAACCGCTGATCTTGGCCATACCATAATGAGTCATACACTTCACACATCGAGTTCCAGCTCTGAGCCCCTGGAACATGCTGCAAGTGGCCAAAAAGGGCTCACTCACAGTTCCCATTTGCTCGACAGTGCGCGGGGTCATACATAGGGATAAGTCCAGATATCTAACTATCGGCGGGAATCCAAGTTTCAAAGCAACATCGATTCAACTATCACACTCAATACTGTCATACAGTTCTCTCACATCCATCAATCCGTGGCCATGGGGAGTCCCTAAAGCACCTGCCACTTCCTCTGGCAGCGTCCGATGGAACGCCTCCCTGAGAGAAGCGTTACCTGCGATAGCAGCGTCCCACTCAGACTCCACAAGATAGCACCACTGCCTGACCGACTCATCCCTGATGAGCGACCACAGCCGCCCCAGGAAGGACACTAAGGACACTAGGAGGAGGAGGAGGAGGAGGAGGAGCCTCGGAGGAGGAGGAGAGGGACACGAAGGCGGAGGAGGAGGAGGAGGAGCAGGAGGGGGGGGAGGAGGCAGGGTGGTGGAGGAGGAGGGAGGATCGAGGGGGGGGAGGAGGGCGCAGGACGGGCGGAGGAGCCGCGGAGGCCTCCGTCTTCAGCTCCGCGGACGCCAAGAGGCTCGCCAGCTTCGCGCAGGCCACGCAGGGCGAGGAGGCCGCCGCTCGCCGGCCGCGGGCCGGGCGCCGCCGATCCGCCGCCCGCCCGTCGTCGTCGTCGTCGTCGTCGTCGTCGTCGTCGTCGTCGTCGTCGTCGTCGTCGTCGTCGATCGTCGATCGTCGATCGTCGTCCGCCGCCTTTCGCGGGGCCGCGCCCCCCCGTCCCCCCCGACCTCAGAGAGGCGGCATCCAGATGTGGCGTCGTGAGCTGAGGGTGGAGCGGCGGCGAGTGAATGGGCCCTGTGAGCGTGCGGCGGAGTCTGTACTTCGCTTCTGTGGCGGGCCGGGCCCCCCGATGGAAGGCACAGTGTCTTGTGGCTGCAGCTGCCTTTCTGCTGCCCTCTTCCTCCTTCTTTGCGCTGTTTTGCGGAGGCTGCCTCGCATGTCGTCTAATTTGTTTGGAACGTCGGATGTGCCCTGAGGCGGCGGTGGTCCGTCGCTCTCTGAGGCCAGGTCCTTCAGCGCCGTTTAGTCCCATCAGTGCTGTCATTGAGTTCAAGGCTAGGTTGCCCTGGCACGCAGGTCGTCGCGAGGCAGTCGCAGGCTCTGTGGTCGCGGGACTAGCTCACCTCCTCCTCCTGCTCGTTTCCCTCTCCTTCTCCGTCTCCTCCTCCTCCTCCTTCTCCTCCTCCTCCTCCTCCTGCTCCTCCTCCTCCTCCTCCTCCTCCTCCTCCTCCTCCTCCTCCTCCTCCTCCTCCTCCTCCTCTCGTCCAAACCCAAGCGCCCGACCCAGCAGGAGGGACCGGCGCCTGCAGCGAAAAAAGACCCCCGAGGTCGAGCCAAGCAAACCCTTCGCCAAGATGGCCGTGGCGCGCGCCGAAGCCGACTTTCCGGCAGGGCCACGCCAGCCGTGGCTCGGCGGAGGCCGCCCCGCAGCTCCTCGCGGCTCAAGAGCGCCCAGAGACCTTCCGGAAGGACGAGCTCTTGTCCCTGGGCCCCGTCGAGCAGGCTCGAAAGCTCCAGGACAAATTGGACAGAGAGGAGGCGAAGCTCGCCGGCGACTCCACCACCCTGCAAGATATCGGGACTCCCGGGCCTTGAGCAGGGTGGCAATCTGGAGTTCACATCGCCTGGCGCTGGGCCTTTTTCGGCGACGGAGCCGCCGCCGCCAGCTCCGAGAGAGGCCCGGCCCAATGCCTTGAAGAATGTATGCCGATATCGGCATCGCTTCAGCCGTAGCGCACCTCCCTTCTCTTGACCATCCGTTGTGCAGCCAGCAGGTGGGTGTCGTGGATAACCACAGCTGTGGGCCCAGTTTTGCTTGTGTCGGCTGCTACAGCGACGCCACCAGACCGTTGCAGCGAGGGATGCCGAGAAAGACCTTGTCACGATCGTCGCAGTTTTCATACGGCGCTTTGTCGGCGCTTTTGGGTGCACCAGCCAATCCCTGTGGAGGGGGCGCGCGGTTCGAGCAGAAACCCCAGCCCCCCCCTACTTTTGGGTGCACCAGTCTACCGTAGAAGGGGGGCGCTCGATTCGAGCCGTATTCCCAGACCTATTTTTGGGTGCACTGGGCCATCCTTAGTGACAGGGCTGCTCGATTCGAGCCGGAGTCCTGGGCTCATTTTCCCGTCTCGAGGGCAGGGCTTCGCAAACCCCGTCTCCAGGGCATGATTTGTGTCACGGCCGCGGTGTGTCGGGGGTGGGTGGGGATGCTTAGCCTGCGGCGAGCCCGCCCCTTGCTGCGTTTGGTCTTGCTCCTGCCCTTGCCTCCCCTGCCCCTCCTCCTCCTCCTTCTCCTCCTCTTCCTCGTCCCTCCTCCTCCTCCCTCCTCCTTCCTCCTCCTCCCTTCCTCCTCCTCCTCCTCCTCCTCCTCCTCCTCCTCCTCCTCCTCCTCCTTCTCCTCCTCCTCCTCCCCCATACTCCCCCTCCTCATCCTCCTCATTCTCCCCTGCCTCCCCCTCCCCCCTCCTCTCCTCCTCCTCCTCCTCCTCCTCCTCCTCCTGCTTCTCCTGCTTCTCCTCCTCCTCCTCCTCCTCCTCCTCCTCCTCCTCCTCCTCCTCCTCCCCCGTCTTTGCGCCCATCCGCCGCCTGTGGCCCAGGACGTGCAGCCACTCGACTGGGCATCGAGGCCCGCCGTCCAAGCCTGGCGCGCTCGCGGCCGCAACCCGCGGCGGCCGCGCGGACGGCCCTGTCTTCTTGTAGAGCGGCCACGCGCTCGAGGGGACGTCTCCTTCGAAATCGGCCACGCGCTCGAGGGGCCCCTTTCTTCTTCCGTGATTCTCCCTGTTTGCTTATTCTCTCTCTCGCTCTCTCTCTCTCCCGTGTTCTCCTTCTCGCTCTCTATCCCCTCTCCTGCGATCCTTGAGCGCGTGCTGCATATCCGTGACGCCATCACGTTTAAGCCAGCCTGCTCGGATTGCCTGGTTCGCTGTGGGTGTGTGTGTGTGGGTACTTCTTCGGAATTGCGGCGTGCGCGGAGGGCAGAGGTGGGGAAGGAGCCGCGGCTCAAGTCGGGCCTGTCCCTCTGCGGGGGGAAGATTCAAAAATAGTCAAAACATCGTCCAGGGGCGATGTTTGTTTTACAGGTGGCAGCATGTTCTGAATCTTCCTCCGTATTTTTATTAATCGCTTCGCTCACTCCGCCGGCCCATAATGTCGCACCGTGGTCGCCTGTCCGAGTGGTCGTTTGCAGTGTGGAGCTGCGGCGTCGGGGGCTGTGTAGTTGTCGATAAAATTGTTAATGTTGCCGGAAAGGGCTCGAGCCCAGGGTTCTCTTTTAGTTGGTTTACCTCCGGTTTTTATTTGAAGGGGGCCGGCGGAATTCTTGTGCGATAAATTACGAGGTCGAAGGGGGCGAACGGATTTCAATTGTGAGGACGAAGGCCATTTTTCGCCACCCCTCACGCAGATCGTGCTCTTGGAATTTTACTGCCTTTAAGGAAACCTCGATATTTCACAGGTGAAGTTCACTTTTTTCCGACATCGACTTTAAACGATTAAAACAAAAACAAGGTAAACGCGTTCGCTCGATAAATGACGAGGTACCGCGGCCTCCGGAACGGCGCTGGGAACGGAGTTTTGGATTCGTGAAGTTGCATAAGTTCGGAAATAGCAGAAATCCCGTGTGTTTTTGTTGACCCTGACCCCGCCGATCTGCGTGAGGTGTGGCACGGAATACCAGAAATGTGCCAAATCCCCTGTGTTTTTGGACCCTGACCCCGCCGATCTGCGTGAGGGGTGGCGCGGAATTCCAGAAATGTGGCAAATACCCTGTGTTTTTGGATCCTGACCCCGCCGATCTGCGTGAGGGGTGGCACGGAATTTCAGAAATGTGGCAAATCCCTTGTGTTTTCGGATCCTGACCCCGCCGACCTGCGTGAGGGGTGGCACCGAATTTTTTTACGTAGATGTTTGAGAATGTCTCGAGCGAAACGCTGGTGTTTCAGAATGTGTTGAGGATGTCTCGAGCGAAACGCTGGTTTTGTGTTATATATTGTCCTCTCCTGGGGACCTGAATTCAGAGGATCTCTCAAGTGAAATGCTTGTTTTCACGTGCCCAGGTCTTGAGAATGTCTCGAGCGAGACGCTTACCGAGTTTCACGCCTCCAGGTTGCCCAGCCAGACAGCCATTTCTAGCATGAGGATTTGTGTGAGGATGCCTCGAGCGAGAAGGCTTCTTTTCACGTGTCCAGGTCGCCAAGGCGGATGTATAGCATGAAGCGGTGTGAAGCACGAGCCCTGGGCACGGTACATCAATCCAGGTCGCGATACTTTTACAGCTTCGGCACGGTACATCAATATCAATATCGATACCCTTAGCACTGCAGCCTGGCATGCTGCCTGGCACGTTCCGCGGAGCGTCCCGTGGCGAGTCCCCCTGGCACGTCGCGCGGTGCACGTCCATTGGCTCGTTCCGTAGTGCGTCCCCTTGGCACGTCCCGCGGTGCGTGCCCATGGCACGTCCCCTGGCACGTCGCCTGGCGCGTCCCTTGGAACGTTCCGCGGCGCGTCCTCCTGGCATGTCCCCTTGTGGATCAGTTTTGGGGCAGCTACCATCTGCTCAGGCAGCTCGAGCTTAAGATCCAGATCAATTCGGTCAGGACTCGGATGCAAAGGGGACTCGATCCACAACGCTATATAGAGCACAGTCGTGGCATGGCACATCGCAGTTCAGCACGGCGCAGCACAGCACAGCCGTCGGCACAGTACATCAAGATCGATACACTCAACATTGCACCTTGGCACGTTCCTTGGCGCGTTCCGTGGCGAGTCCCCCTGGCACGTCGCGCGGCGCGTCCCACGTCCCGCGGCACGTCCATTGGCATCTTCCGTAGCGCGTCCCCTTGGCATGTCCCGCGGTGCGTCCCCATGACACGTCTCCTGGCACGTCGCCTGGCGCGTCCCTTGGGACGTTCCGCGGCGCGTCCTCCTGGCATGTCCCCTCTGTCGCTTAGTTTTGGGGCAGCTACCATCTGCTCAGGCAGCTCGAGCTTAAGATCCAGATCAGTTCGGTCAGGACTCGGATGCCAGGGAGGACTCGATCCACAACGCTATATGGAGCACAATCGCGGCATGGCACATGGCAATTCAGCACGGCGCAGCACAGCACAGCCCTCGGCACAGTACATTAAGATCGATACATTCAGCATTGCATTTGCACGTCGCCCAATCAGGTGTCTTTGAAACGTTGCTATGCCTTACATTTCTATATTCCTTTCCGGGTTCGTGGGTCGATCATTTTTTTCATGGGGCTTCTAGGTGTTTGCAGTTTTTTGACGGCTTTGGTGCCATCGTGGGGGCGTGTTACCCGTGGTATCCCGCTGTGGGGCCGTTCGAGCCGGGGGAAGGGACATCTTATGCGATAAGGGAATCCTCGTGTCGGAGGGTGGCGGGCTTTGAATGCTAACATTGGCTCTGTTATCGTCCTGATGTCCTCTGGCGTTGCGGACACGGGCGTGAAGGAACACTTTCTTGTGGCGTTTCTCTTACCATCTCTTTTCTAATTGGACCGGAGGAGGAGGAGGAGGAGGAGGAGGACGACGACGACGACGAGGAGGAGGAGGAGGAAGAGGAGGAGGGAGGAAGGAGGAGGGGGATGAGGAGCGATGAGGAGCGCCTTTGTCGTCGTCGTCGCCGTCGCCGCCGCCGCCGCCGCCGCCCGCCGCCGCCGCCTGCCGGCGTCGTCGTCGTCGTCGTGGAGGCTGGAGGCCGAACGCGGGGGAGGAGGACCACCCCGACCCGCGTGTCCCAAGTCGCGTCTGGCTGGAGTCTTGGAGGCGTCTTGGGGGCCTCCTGAGGGTTTTTTTGGAGGCTTCCAGAGGGCCTTTTGGAGGCCTCTTGAGGCCTCTTGAGGGCCTCTTGGGGGCCTCTTGGGGCCTTTCAGGGCGTCTTGGGGCCTCCCGGGGGCCTCTAAGGGCCGAGAGCTCGAAATTCTGTTTCGTGAACCCCCTCTTGGGGCGTTGTTGAAGCGTTTTTGGGCCGTCTTGGAGGCCTCTTGGGCCGTCTTGGGCCATCTTGGAGCCCTCTTGGGGGCCTCTTGGGCCCTCTTGGGGCGATCTTGGAGGCCTCTTGAGCCGTTTAGGGGCGTCGGGGAACCGAAAAGGTTGAAACGCCCAAATCTGTCCAAAACCTAAGGAAAAGCCTCGTTTGTTTGCCTCTTGGGGCCCTCTTGGGAATGCACTTGGAGACCTCCTGGGGATCTCGGAGGCTTCTTGGGTCATCTTGGAGACGTCTTGGGCCGCCTGGAGGCCATCTTGGGCGTCGTGGAGCGATATTCGGGCGTTTCGGACCTCTCTTGGACCGTGTTGGGGGCGTTCTTGGGGCCCTCTTGGGCCGTCCTGGGGGCCTCTGGGGCCGTCTTGGAGCCGTCTTGGGGCCCTCTTGGGGGCCTCTTGGGCCCTCTTGGGGCGATCTTGGAGGCCTCTTGAGCCGTTCAGGGGCGTCGGGGAACCGAAAAGGTTGAAACGCCCAAATCTGTCCAAAACCAATGGCAAAACACAGTTGTTTGCCTCTTGGGGCCCTCTTGGGAGTTCTCTTGGAGGCCTCTTGGGGCATGTTGGAGGCTTCTTGGGCCATCTTGGAGGCGTCTTGGGCCGTCTGGAGGCCATCTTGGGCGCCGTGGAGCGATCTTCGGGCGTCTCGGACCTCTCTTGGCCCGTGTTGAGGGCGTTCTTGGGGCCCTCTTGGGCCGTCTTGGAGGCCTCTGGGGCCGTCTTGGAGCCGTCTTGGAGGCCTCTGGGGCCGTTTTGAGGGCCTCTTGGGCCCTCTTGGGGCGATCTTGGAGGCCTCTTGAGCCGTTTAGGGGCGTCGGGGAACCGAAAAGGTTGAAACGCCCAAATGTGTCCAAAACCTAAGGAGAACAAAAACAAAAAAAACATTGATTGTTGCCTCTTGGGGCCATCTTGGGAGTGCTCCTGGAGGCCTCTTGGGGCATCTTGGAGGCTTGTTGGGTCATCTTCGAGACCTTTTGGGCCGTCTGGAGGCCATCTTGGGCGCCGTGAAGCGATCTTCGGGCGTTTCGGACCTGTCTTGGATTGGATTGTGTTGGGGGCCTCTTGGGGCGATCCTGGAGGATTTGGGGGAGTGTCCCGGGCTCCGCCCGGGGTACTTTTGATCCAGGGACCCCCAGGGGCCGCCCCGCGCGCGCGAACCAGAAATACTGTTTACCAGTTGCCGGAGATCTTAGCACGCCTCTGGCCCGTTGGGCCGGCGAATTTGTTCGCCCAAAATCTCTCTGCAGGGGGAGGAGCAGGAGGAGCAGGAGGAGGAGCAGGAGGAGCAGGAGGAGCAGGAGGAGCAGGAGGAGGAGGAGGAGGAGCAGGAGCAGGAGGAGGAGGAGGAGCAGGAGGAGGAGGAGGAGGATATACTCGCTGGCTGCCCGCTAAGGCTGTGTACGAGGGCCACATACACCACACGCGCGACCAGGCTCAGAACGCCAAGCTCCAGAAGGACACCCAGATGCTCCCAGCAGTGGCTCCCGCAGACGAGTTCGACCAGCGCGACGACACCAACAACCAGAAGTACGTCTGCTACGTCTGCGGCCGTATCGCCACCAGGCAAGGCATGGCTGTCCACATGGGCAGGGATCATCCCGACCACACGGACTCGCGCTTCTGGGCTACTGGCACTGCATGCCGCTGCTGCCAGACCGAGCACCACACGTTCCCGAGGCTCATCAAGCACCTCTCGGTGGCCCACCGCTGCCGCAACTCCTGGTACGCCTGGCACCACCAGACGATAGAGCCTCTGACAGAGCAGCAGATCGCCGCGAACTTCAACGCCATCGCCGAGGCCACGACCGCCAACAAGAAGCAAGGACGCCACTCGACCTTCAGCGACAAGCCAGCCCACCAGTGCGCTGTCACGCCGCTGCCGCTCCTGGAGACGTCACCCGTGGCACCGGAAGTATTCGCCAGGCGCGAGTCCTCGCCAAGCATGCCTCCCGTGAGCACGCCTGCTGGACCAGCCGAGCGCCAGGAGGTCGTCTTCATCACCGATCGCCCTCGACAGGCCGCTGACCTCCAGCAGATCATGGCCAACAGCGGGATCA